ATAATACAAAACATTGGTTAATACAGTGCTTCTCCGACATTAAAGTGCATACCCATCACCTGGAGAACTTGTTTAAATGTTGGTTCTTATCAATAAGTCTGGGGTGGGACCGAATACTTTGTATCTTTATCCAGCTCCCAGCTGATGCCAATGCTGCTGGTCTGTGGACCCCACTTAAGTAGCAAGGGAGTAATATTAATTGAGCACTTGCCATATGTACCAAGTACTTTTAACCGTAAATCACCTCGTAAGGAGGAGCAAGTAGAAGGCAAGATGCCTGTTTGGGAGACGAAAAAATGATGCAGCCTAGACTAGAACCCAATCCTCCTGTCTGCTAGTTTATTGTATTTTCTAGCACACCTCTCTTTCTGAGTATTAGAACTTGTTCTCTATTCTGGGAAGGTGGACAACTACTAATTTATGGTATTTTCACAATTAAATAATAATCAGCCAAAGTGTATTTTTTTCAAGTTTCCTTCCTAAATTTAAATCTAAATTAGCCCAGTCTCCTTTAAAACCAGTGTTAATATTGTAGTCTCTATTGTACAGACACCAAACAGACAACACACTTTTTCGTGTTTCCATTTCTTTGCCCATGTGTTAAAATTTAATATATTTAGCTAAATTACATTTATGGTCAAATGCATTTTATCCTTGCAGATTTTGTGATATTGAAACTCTATCCTTTGCTTTAGTGGAAGACCTCATTTTCTATTCCTGGAGCTAGCAGCACTCCATTTTGACATTTGATGCCCATGAGATTTTTATAGAATCTAGGTTATAAGACTGCGTCTCTTGCCACATATTTTTGAATAGGGATCTGTCTTACTTTTCTCAGAGCTGTTCTGCATTATGATTTTCTTTGAGGTGGTTTTGATTATTTTAAAAAATCCAATGATAAAAACCCTTCACATAATAATTACCATTGGCTGGAGAGCTTTCTATTTTTTAAAAAACAATTTTTTAGATGAAAGAGAACAATAGTGATTCCCTCTTCTCCCAACTCAAAGCAAAAAACCATATGAATATTTCAATGATAGAGTGAAAAAAATGTTTTCTAGTGTAAACTTTAGTATAAGGAGAAGTTTTATTGTTTTTTGAAAAGGGGAATCATTGAAATGATTTAAGATGAGTATCCTTATGACTCAATACAAAAGTTTTCATTTAAATGCAATATACAAAATTTGTCTTTTATAATCAACTTAGGTAATTTACTAAAAATGGGCTCATCTAAATTATTTTATTCTCAGAGACAGAAAAATTAATGGTAAGGTGTTTGCTGTTTCACAAAATGACACACTTTTCTTAAGCTTTATACTTAGCACAAACTTGTAATAACTATTGGCTATCTGCTTTATATTTCTGTATATGCTGATTAAATTGACCTACTTAACCTGGGATTTGATTTAGACTGATTTATAATTAGTGGTCTCTGATATAATATAAATGATAAAATATTCAATATATACTCATTATAATAGACCACTTTAGATTATACATATTCTACCAATAGTAATTTTTTTATTCCAAAGTTTTTATCATGCCTAGCATAGTGAATGACGCCCGATTGGTGCACACACACAAAAATGTTTTTAGGGAAAAAAATAAGTGAATTATTGTTGACTAAGCCAAATGAAGACAATCTTTAAACAAATAATTTATAATAACAAAAATTTTAAAAACTAATAAAGCTAGCATTGGGTGAGTCTTTCCTATGTGCCACACACTGTGTCAAGGGGCGCCTGGGTGGCTCAGTGGGTTAGGCCGCTGCCTTCGGCTCGGGTCATGATCTCAGAGTCCTGGGATCGAGCCCCACATCGGGCTCTCTGCTCAGCGGGAAGCCTGCTTCCTCCTCTCTCTCTGCCTGCCTCTCTGCCTACTTGTGATCTCTCTGTCAAATAAATAAATAAAATCTTTAAAGAAAAAAAAAAAAAGAATAAAAATAAATATCACCTTGTTTGATCCTTACCAAAACCTTCCAAAATATGCAGTTTTGTTTTTCTTCAGAAAAATGAGATATTGTAGAATTACCTCCCAAGATAATGCAACCAGTAAGCCTTAGAGTTGATACTCACACCCAGATCTTTATGGTTTGAATCCCATGGCCACTATACTCTATCAACTTACTTTAGAAACTTGCTTGAGTGCAAAAACCAAAGTCACCTCCTTGGGAAATTTAGATACTATTTAAAGACTCTTGAATTTAATTATTTACTCATAAAGCAAGAGTATTTGCTTTTACAATTAAATAAACATTGACATCATTTGCGCTTTCTCAAGACACCAGGTAAGATGTTAGTCTTTATTTAGTTTGTTCATTGTCGAAACCACCATCATCACTGGATGATTATCATCATCCTCGATTATTGAGTTGTAATGCTTACTGGGTAGTTACTGTTTTGTGCTAAATTATGCACCTCTACAGCTTCATCTCATTCATCGCTCACTGGTCATCAGACCAACTTGTTTTTTGTTTTGTTTCATTTCATTTTTGTGGGGTTTTTTGGTCGTTATAGGCCAGGTATAATATACCTGCTTTTTAAAAAGGCATTACTATGTGAGACAATAACACAGGGGTTTTTTGGAAGCAATTTATTTTCTTTATGAAAAATAACATTTCTAAGAAAATTGGGAAGTACAATAATCATCCTACTAGTTTTTCCTAAGAAATGATGCTGAGGGAGCGGTTCATTTGTCTTAAATTTTATAAGCTTGTTCTTTTAAGGATATGAAAAAATTTTATGTATGAAATTTACATATATATATACATATATATATATAAAATACTCTTTTAAGGATGTAAAATGAAGAATCATGCAGTTACTTCTTAGTTTGCCAAAACTGATTTTCTAATGAGTCCATGGTAGATTCAGCATTTGAGTTGGGCATGCCAAAGCTGTTTTAAGTTGCTAGCTCAGTTGAGGAAGCAAAGAAATACACAATAGTAATGTGTCTCACATATGTCTTTGTTACTCACATTATTGTTTTTCTTCAGGATGAATTTTATTTTCTGTAAAATGTATCTATTCCAATACTTACATAGTCCTCAAGCTATAGATAATGAGATGGTTAAGGAATCCTTATAGGTGGGTCAGGTATTACTTTTTGTAACTGGTTATTGACTGCACATTGACACAATTTGGTCAGGTTAGTAGTAATTTTTATATTTTGACCCTATTTCCATCAAGAAATACAGGAGATTGTGTCCAGGACTTCCAGAGCTATAGCCACTTACTTTGCATAGTGTTCACTGAAGATGAGGGTATTAACAGGGCCTAAAAAAAAATCTTCCTCTCCTCAGTTTTTATATATTCTTTTTCCCATTCAGAACCCATGTTTATTGCTTTGTTCCATGGATGGGGTTTTTTAAAGGCCTAAATCAGAAAGAATTTATTATCTAGACAGAAAGATTGATTTTCATTGTCTGCTTCTGTTTTGTGATGTTTGTGACTGTTCTCTTTTTGAAATTGATGCCTTTGTGGTATTACAGTCCATATGTTATATGGCACTGTCGTTGATTCAATGAAGTTGTGAAGTTTGTATCATTCTAGCCTGAGTCAACCGGGGGTGCCTTTGAAATTGGAGTTATTAACTACCCTTATTTTTAGATCCTTTAATTAGAAATAACTTTAGGCTTCCTGATGAGGGGAATTCACTCAGGGTCACCTAAAACCAAACTTTATATTACCAAGAATTGGAATATTCTATAACTGAGATTTTTCCATAATTCTTTTTTAATGAAAATTGTTGATGGGAATAGAATTTATTTTGTGAGCTTCAAAAGTGACATTTTATAACAAGATAATAAAATTGTGTCTGTTTAAAGCCAATTGTGTACTTTTACAATCCAAGTAAATGTTCTCTTTCTCTTCACCACAAACCCCCAATAAATTCCATTTTGATGTCAGTGGACCAAATATTGCCAGTACCATAATCTGTGGAGTGAAAGAATTAGATATTTAAGTTAAAGGAATAGAATAATTCTGGGAAATGGAATTATTATAAAATTCTATGTTTACGAATTAAAGCAGTATTACTGTTTTTCTTAAAATTGATCAGTAAGCTAGTATTTTCTCTTATCAGGATATTGTCTATATAAAGACCATTCTCAATGCATTATATTTTTTTAATATCTGTTGGCTTTATTAGGTGCAGTACATAACAATGTATTTAAAATGCTCTATCTTGTTAAAAACAAAGCAATGTAAGCAGGACATACACTTTTGGTAGGCTCAACGAATGCAAGTATGATTTGTCAGCATTACTGAATGCGTCCAAACCAATTAGTAAAGCAAGATTTATTAAGCAATCAGAATATATTAGAATCTGATCAATACAAAGAACAGTCCTCTAATTTGCTCATTTTATGGACAAAGTTGACTATTGGTGTATATTGATACATATTTACAAATCCATTCCGTTGAAAGAGTATCTTTCTATAGTATCATTTAATCAGATTTGATGAGTAGAGGACATCAAGTTTCAGAGTCTCACTTGATGTCCCTGCTTGGAGGATAATGAAGGACTGTGGTGTATCATTTTTATCCTTATTCATTGCATTATTTCTGCTCAAATCACTAATGAGGTAGACTCAGGATTTTGCAGAGTCCAGCTTTGTTCCATGGTCTTCCATGTGCTGTGTATTTTAAAATATCAACTATTTATATCATAATGACAACTACATATATTTCCAAGATCAACGTACTAATATTATTTAATAAAAGAAAACACTTTCAGGGAGAGATAAACTCAGAGTAAGATTTCCTGAGACTCATGACTTTGAGAAGAGAGGTTAGGCGGAGAGTTTTGAAAGCTGCTTTAAGACTTTGGTAGAGCTAAGTGTACCGTGGGATGGGATGGCTTCTGTGAATGTGAGAAAGAAGACTAGCTCATTGACGGGAAGCATGAGGGATGAGAGATCACTGGCAAGCCTGTTCGCTATTGAGCTGCTTTACAATCCCTTCTATTGTAAAGGTGTCCACCTCTGTCTTATCTTTCAGTCCTCCACAAGCAACCTAGAGAAGTGTGTCTCTGTTTGCTGGAGCTTGGCCGGATTGCAGCCAGGTAGGTCAAACTGCTACCACTATTTCAAGATGTGAACCATCTCAGCATTGAAACAACTGAGAAGCTTGCTGGTTTTTCATTGCTAATTTAACCTGGGCATTGAGAGGCTATTTTTTCCAAATATAATTAGTACAAACATCTCAAGAGCAATTGTTCAAATTAAAAGCATGCCACCAATATTCCTAGCCCTACAATCTTGTCAAAGCCACTATATCTAATAAGCATTTACTAAAAGCATATCCTCTCATCTAATACATTTGCCTTCCAGTCTTTTCTTGGGGGGGTGGGGGAGGGTCTTGTACATCAAGTTGTGTGTGACAATTACTCTTTCTGCTAAAGTCTATTCCTATTATGTCTCTCTCTCCCAACTCCTCACCTCCTCTCTTTCTGTTTATTCTTTATAATTTAATTCTTAATATAATCCCTAATATCATCTACTAATATATAATACATTTATTATTATTATTTTTTAAAGATTTTATTTATTTATTTGACAGAGATCACAAGTAGGCAGAGAGAGAAGGGGAAGCAGGCTCCCTGCTGAGCAGAGAGCTGGATGCGGGGCTCGATCCCAGGACACTGAGATCACGACCTGAGCCGAAGGCAGCGGCCTAATCCACTGAGCCTCCCAGGCGCCCCTATAATACATTTATTATTAAATAAATTTCTTTTTTCCTCATTATCCCTTATTCAGCATCCCATGTCTCAGGTCTTTTAGCTTCTACTGCTGAGTGGGGGGATAATTTTTCAGTTATTCTCCATATTTTCATTAGAGAAAGGCATAGAATATTTTCCTTCTTATGTGAAGAATCATTTTCTTCTAGGAAAAAAAAAGTAATTGTAAAAGTCAAAATCATAGCTAAATAGACAGAGAAAGGGACTTTATTACCTCAGGTGACTTGCTTTGGTTTCGTGTTTTATCTTTCATTTTCTTGCAAATGACCAAACAGAACTTCTGACAGTTCTATGAAACCCAAAGAATTAGAAATGAAGATGTTTAAGTGGTCAAAGAAGACATGATTCAAAATAAAAATTCAGAATTACTTAGATGTTTTTCATCAAAATCTGGGTTCACTGTTAGGAGAGAGATCAGATGAACCAATAAGATAAAGTGAGAGCTAGCTCTGGGTGAAAATTCTCAAAGGAAAATTTATAAAGAAAATCGGGGTAAAGAAAATACGAGGCATACCCATCAGCAAATTACAGCAATGGGTAGAAAGCTTGCTGCCAGTGAATAGACCTGGGCTTTTTTGTTTGTTTTTATTTTTGGTTTTGATTCAATGGGAAATTAACCTGCAATCAGAAGTAACTCCAGGTTCCATAAAACATGATTGACAACATAATCTCAACAAATTGTATATCAAGTATGAATTTTACTTTACCACAGTACGTGGGTATGAGGAAGATTCTTTAATTAAAAAAAATCAAATTAAGTATGACTGAGGCTCCACTCAAAATGAAAAAGCCAATTTGAGACATTTGGACAGGTTTCCCTATTCTCTCCCATACTGTTCCAAGATACTGTGCGAAGGCCTTGGGATAGGGTCCCCTGGTCCTCTGTCCACTCAGGCCTCTACTACTGGAGCTTAGTTTGAGCTTGGAGGGTCTCATTCTTTCTTTGGACCCCCCCCCCCCCAGAGCTGTCACCTTCTTGGGTTCTATGAGGGAGCGAGACAACGGCGGACTCTGCTAAACCACCCAGTCTTGGGGCTTCTGACCTGTAGGGCAAACGACCTTGAGCCAAAGGAATGGTATCCTTTGAACTCTACAGATATCCCCTAAAAGAGGGAAAGTGAAAAATAAAAGGGGAAGAAAAACACACAAAGTAAAATTTCAATAAATGAGCGGCTGCCACTGAAATGTTAGAGTGAGAGAAACATGGATGGTTCCTACTTAAGAGAGATAAGGCAGAACATTTTTTGTTCAATTTTTAAATTTTAATTATACTGCTAGAATATTCTAAAAGGCCAGATTCCATTTTGTTGTTTTAATAATCTAAATACATGAATCAAGTCAGCATCATGATTCTGAAAGTCACGATATATAGGTAGAGAGAAGGCGGTGTACCATCTGCAGAATTAGTCACAAGATGTCATTATCCTCTTGTTAGTTTATAATACTTGCCTATTTTCTGGGTTTATTTTTTTTTTGATTATGCTTTTTATTACTGGAGCACTCAGATTAGGAATCCTGCTGGACCAGACTTTTTAACTATGACGGAGTCATCAAAGGAGAAGACATGCCACCCAATGACAAAATCCCTTTAGAAATCCCCTTTCCTTCAGTTCCAAGTCTGGCATAAATTACCCCTTGCCATGGTACATTAAACAATTTAAAATCTTAATTTTAATGACAGAGAATCATAAGGGCCTGGTCAATTTCATGGTGATGGATCATGTCAAGTTTTATGTGTTTTTTTTCCCCCAGTTATTTTGAAACTGAGAGTCTGGGTTGCTCTATTTCTTTATCATTCTTTTTTTTTTAAAAACCAGTTTATTGGGTGACATACAAAAGGTGTCCATATTTAATGTATACGAGTTGATGAGCTTGGAGATGAGTGTATATCTGTGCAACCATACCGCAGTCTATGCCATTAGTCGATCTATCACCCCTCACATTTTCATCCTGCTAGTATTAGTATTAGTATTATCACCATTGTCATTGTTATTTATGATACAAATGGGTTGCTCATTTCTGACCATACTTACAACCATGTAAGCTGGTGAAAGCCGTAATTATTCATATTACAAAGGTATTACTAATTTCAAAAAGGAATTATCTAAGGGTTAAGATAACCCTTATGTTACAATGCTCTATTTATAAACCTTGCTTTTATTTTCTTCACTTGAGTGACGTGAAATACTGTACTTACACTGAAACCCAGAAAACATGCTGAGATCATTCAGGGTGTTACTTTAGTTGTGTGCAGCATAAGGTAAAACAATTGAATACCAATCGGATAGATTGAACATTTAAGTATACATGTCTACTTAAGTTTCTATCTGTACACATTTGAAGATCTTATCTTTTTTTTTTTTTTTTATTTGAATGGAAGTTCAATTGTGCTTTACAGACAGCAAACCAGTAAACCCAAATTTCACTCCCTAAGCTGTATGTTGGAGCATATTAGTTAAAGGGGGAAAAAAAAGGAAAATTCATCCACCTGACTTCATTTTATTCCTAAATTTTTCTTTGAACATATTGAAACTATGTCTACATCTTTACTTTCTGCTTCCTCCTCTCCTTGTGCCTCCATTAGAGGATTACAGAAATTACTGAGTTAAGACATCATTAGCCAAAACTAGAAGTGATTTGGGGAAAGCTCTTATGAATCAGTACATTAATTTGTACACACGCTGGATGAGTTTTTTACTATAATGAGGTCCCCAGCACAATCTTATGAATCGTGAACGTTTTTCTAATAATCACTGACAGTTGATGTTTTTAATATTCGATTCTAAACATTAACTCCTTGAAATTACATAAATGTCATCTTAAAAGTATCCACATCACTTCAGATATGATTCTCAGGATGTTTCTGATTCTCTGCCATCTTCTCCTGACTGGGAAAACTCAGTGACACTCCTTTGAGAGCTGTGGGCTTCTCTGAGTTCTGACATGGGAGAATGAGACCACTTATTTTTGTTCTCATGGGTAAAACTTCCTTTTATTTTCGACTGAATAGAGCTATCATCACTGGAGAGTGAAATCCCACTGTTAATATTTCAGAAACCATGTCAGTTTCTGTGTGTAAAATATGCATGTTTTCCTTTTGAAAAGTAAAACCCTCAGCAAAAGCAGGTCAATAAAACCTGAAAGATCTTTTTAATGGCAATGCTTTGATATTCATTGCTGAAAAGTGTCCCTATGAAGTCGACGTTTTACAGACTACAGAACTAAGATTACCTTTATGCTAAAAGTTAAAAACTTTTGATATTTTGGTCTGGGGCCATAATCAATAATTAATATCTTAGTGGAGCTTTTTATATTATTATTTTTGAGTGCTTCCTTAATTTTGAACAACACTTATGACCATTTGAAAGAAATATACTTGGTGAACATTTTTGTTAGTCTTCTATTTCAATGCATGGCCTAATGAAGTGTTGCTTAAAATAAAAATATTCTTATACAAGGTTTATTAATTAACACATCCTATTTAAAACACTTGACTCTGCTAAGAATATCACATGTGCTCATGTGAGTGAAATTTCCTTCCAAATGTAAATCTATCTTTAAATTACTTCAAAACAGAATAAAAATAGGGCAAAACTATCTTGCAAGAATCTATAAACTGTCAACTATAAGCTCATCTGTTTATCTATAAACTTATCTGCCTTTCTAAAATGTGTCCCCCTTACTCTACTGAAATAGGTCCCAGATGTCCTTTGTTTGAAAACTCTAGTCTACTAAATAGTTTGTAAATTCTCTTAGTTCAGGGCTCAGTTGGAAAGCTCAATTATGTCATCTAGACCAATCTCAAAAATCATGTCATGTGCCAGAAAAATGAAAAAGCCATTCCTAGTACCTCTTCAGAAAGTTACTAACCAGAAGACCCTGTCCCTAGCAGTTTGCATTTTTTTTTTCAACGAGCCAAAACCAGATTCCTTGCCCTTTAATTATTCACTCTACTCTCCTATCACTGGGGTATACAGATGTGAGGGTTTGGTTTTAGTGGATTCAACCTTCTTGCTCTCTTTAGTTGGACCCTTATTCAGTGTGAAAACAATAAATTCTCTCTCCCAAAACTCAAAAAATCTCATAGCTGGAAAGGAATAGAAAACAGTATAGATTTGTGACAACCTCACAGAGTAGAAACGTGAGGTGGTATAGAATTAATCATGGAAACCAGTAAAAGTAACCTTTTGGAGAATAGAAAAAAAGACCTATTTGGTGACTAAGTTGGCTTGCAGGTGTGAGCCCCCAGCCTCAGGGAAATGTCATGATTTACAGCCTGTTGACATCTCCAGACAGACAGGAAGCCAATGAATCGTATTTAAGTGTGCATTTTGGGACTGGCTGACTCTACCCTAGGCAGCTTGAAGTATTTAAAAGCCAATATAAGCAGAGATTTGGAGCTTAGTGTTGATTCTCTATGTTCAGTGGCAGAGCTAATTTTCAGCATTCCCAGATAAAGAAAAATCTCCAGGGCCAGGCTTTCCATGTATGACTTTGTTACCAACTTCATTCAAATTTAGGCTAACTTTGGATCAGACATGGTGAAGCCTATTGTTCCTCTAGTAATACATTATTATTTTACTTGTAAAAAACAGAGAGAGAGAGAGAGAGAGAGAGAGAGAGAAAGAAAAGTAAAAAATTATGCAGCCTGTTCCTGAAAGGTGGCCTGAATCCACCAACAATTACAAATGAAATCATATTTTCCAACTGGCTTAATTTATAGGTTCAAATATGATGTTTTTACTTGTGATTGACTTTTAATTTTGGCTGTGAATTCTAGTGTGTTAAATTCCTCTAGGTTCGCTGCCCAGTTTGTGTTATTCTCTTAAGAACATTAAATATAATAAAATTTTATACCTTGATGGACTAAGAATTCAAAGAAGTCTGGGGAGATGAAAAAGAGTTGCCTGCTGAAGTTCATCCAACGAGTTAGGAACAAAGCTGAATTTCTAACTCGTTTGGCTATATTCAGCACTAAAAAATTTCTGCTGCTCTATAATTCTAGGAAAACGAGTATAAAGAAAGCCTATAAGGAGTTCCTTTGTAAAGGATACAAACAGGAGTAATAATATAAACAGTAGTAATAATACTCCATTACATCTTAATTTTCAGGCCCCTACATTATTTCATCTGGTGGTATAATACATTTTTCAAAAAGCTTCGTCAAAAACACTACAGTGCTGTAGTTTCCTAATGGTAAAACTTTTGATTCATCAATTATCAACACAATTTCAGAGGCTGTGCCATGTGTTAGACACTGTACTGAGCATATAATGGATACTCTTTCTTTTTTTTAAAGATTTTATTCATTTGAGAGAGACAGAGAGACAGAGAGAGCTTGCAAGCGTGCTAGTGCGCACTCGCACACAAGCAAGGGGAGAGGCAGAGGGAGAGGAAGAAGCAGACTCCCTGCTGAGCAGGGAGCCCAATACGGGGCGTAATCCCAGGACCTGGAGATCATGACCTGAGCCAAAGGCAGATGCTTAACCATCTGAGGCACCCAGGCACCCCTGTGATGGATACTCTTTTAATTTCTCCTAACAACATTAAAACAGGAGTTAGAATTTCCATTTTACGTTGAACTTACAAGGAGCCTCAGAAAGAATGTACGTCAGGATGCCCGACCATGCTGGGGACCCTGAAGATGTTCAACAGCAGCTCCCGTTCAAGCATTGTCCCTCCCTCCCTCCCCGCACCATGACATCAGACCTCTGGGGCAGGCCAGTTTCATGTCTACTTTCCTGATAGAAAACAGACTTCTCAAGGTTAAGCGACTTGCTAAATTTTAAGAGTAGGTTAATGGCACAGTGAGCTCAAGTCTACCTCAGGGAAGAAGGATACACAAATCTCCATGTGAGTGTTGTTGGTACTTGTCAGCAGTAATGAGATGCTGGGTTGACTTCAGTGTAACTAATGAAGTACTGGAAAGAAAAATAATGTATTTGGTTTAGTTTTGGATAAGGTTTAAAATCTGCTGGAAAATTTTTTGGTAAAGCATTTGTATGCACTTAATATTGACATGTTTTATTAAAGTGATATATGCAATTGAGGCACCTAGATGGCTCAATTAAGTTGTTGGACTCCTGGTTTTAGCTCACGTCAGGATCCCAGGGTCGTGAGATCAAGGCCCACCACCAGCTCGGCCCTCATCCGGGGAGTCTGCTTAAGATTCTCCCTCCGTCTTTCTCTCCCTCTGCCCCTCCCCCACTCATGTACACTATTAAATAAATAAATAAAACCTTCAAAAAAGATAAAATGATATGCAATTAAAGATCCAGGACAATGAAACTAAATTCATATTTGGATCTCAAAATTATTGTTGTAGGATACAACGGGATTTTTTTTTTTTTTCATTCATATGGCAGCCCTTAAGTACCTGCTGTGTGCCAAGACCTATGCTGGCTCTGGAGGGTACTGTGAATTAGACACTAGTCTCCACTGATACAGATTTGCAGTCTAATGCATGTTTCCATTATGTCCCATTAACTGGATAATATATATAAAGCATTAAGATATATGATGAATGGTGCCTAGGTCTTTTAGCTAATGATTTATTTAACTAAAAATTATTCAGTTCATTAGAGATGGTTCTCAAGAAAGCAGTTGTTCTGTGGAGTTATGACAGCCTAGACTGTTTTGTACTAAATTCCAAGTTTTCAGTTCTCAAAGAGCTTCTGACACAGCATGCATCCTTACCCTCTAAATTCTGGGAAAAAATATTAGAAAATGGAATAAAAGAGTTACAGATGGAACATTAAATATCACCTTTACTACTGATAAGATCCAAGTTGATGAAACCAAGGAGGGAGACAAACCATAAGAGACTCTTAATCTCAGGAAACAAACTGAGGGTCGCTGTTGTGGAGGAAGGTGGGGAGGGATGGGGTAGTTGGGTGATGGACAATGGGGAGGGTATGTGCTATGGTGAGTGCTGTGAATTGTGTAAGACTGATGAATCACAGACCTGTACCCCTGAAACAAATAATACATTATAGGTTAATTTAATAAATTAAGAAATAAAAAAAAAGATCCAAGTTGGCAGACATGCTTAGTGTCTTTAACTGACCTCCAGAAATAGGCCAATTAACTACCTAATTACAAACAAAGATGGAGTTTTCTATGGAGGCCTTTCTGGGGACAGCTACTTCCCTAGAAGAAAGGTGAACTGAGTCAAGCAAGTTTAACTGATTCTTAGATTTTACAGTTTGATAAATCCCTTCGTCTTGCTGGAGAAGTGTGAGTAATGAAAGAGAGAGGCCAGGAATTAAACTAACCGAGTACCCTCGACAAGAACAAAAACATCAAGAGTGGGGAAGTTGCTTCCCTGGAAGTGTATCCTGAACACATGTGTGATGATGTGAGTTAAAGTAACAAGCCATTAGAACAGGACAATAATCTAAGCTTTTGTATTCAATGATCTTTTTAATATATTATTAACTCTAAGGTAGTAGACATACCATCTACGTATTTATTCTATGTAGATTATTTTCTTTGTACATTATCCATCATCTATTTTTTAACTTTCCAAATGACTCATTCCTCTCCTTTCTAACATGTAATCACCTGATTAAAATGTCAGAAAAAAAGAACCTCAGCCCTACACTGAAAAAAATCTGAATTTGCGTCTTTGTCTTGCTCCCAGCTGATTCTGTATCCTTTCTGGATCTTTATTCTTTATTTTGTAAAAATGTAAGATATAACTAGATGATCCCAAAGATCCTTTACAACTCTCACATTCTGGAATTATCTTTGGTCTTCTTCACCCAGGTATACTAGATAAGCATCTAAGAAACCAAACCAATTTTAAATTTAGCTAAAGAAAATTACGTTTATGGGAGATAAGAATGCCAATAACAACTATTACATCTCTCTTTTTGAACTTCTAGGGTATTAATAATTTATAACATAATTTTTAACATTGTTATTCTAAATTATTTCTCTATTTGCTTTTGTTCATTTTCTTTCACTGGACCCCATACCTACTTTCATTACATTGTTTTTAAACGTATAACCTAGGACACAGTACAATCCCACACGACATTATTCTGGACTCAAAGGAGGTATACAATTAACAGTCATTTCTTCTCTGTTAAATCCTTTAAGGATGTTCATTTTGGGGATTGCTATTTTCATCTTTAACAAGCTTGTCTTCAAAATAGGAATTCAATTACAAATCTCAAATCTAATAAATCTAAAAGCTGAAGACTAAAGTTTACATGATAACTCATGTTATTGCCTCAATGTATTACATGGAGTATTTTTATTCTTAATATGCCAGTTGTCTATTCATGTGTCTATATACATATCTGAACGTAAGTGTATATGTATGTATCTATATCAAAATCAGATATATGTGCTTTTTCCTGCTTTAAAGGAGGCCAATTTTAGAACATACCATTTCAGTGCCAGAGAAAGTTAGTTTTAAAAAGTCAGGAATTTGGTCCAATGGTGCTCATGAGCAAATGTAACATATGGTAAGTAAATCATTAGAAGTTATGCATGTGTACTGATCTGGTGTCTTTTAAAAGGTATGGTGTGGAACCTCCTGGTTTGATAAAATTGGAAAAAGAGATTGAACAAGAAGAAACACTTTCTGCTCCCTCTCCTTCACCTTCTCCTTCATCAAAGTCTTCTGGAAAAAAGAGTACAGGGAACTTATTGGATGATGCCGTAAGTAAAATTGGTTGGATTTCTTACCAGCACTTACTCTTTTTTGAACTTCAAAACTCATTCTGTACAATCTCTTGTCAATCTAACCTTCACCTATTTCAATTTCATTCAAATTCATTTTTAAATCCTATGAAAATTTTTGTAGTCCTGCAACAGTAGAAGTAGTCATTTTGAGATTCCAAACTGAGCCAGTTGTTTAAAATAAAGTGACCTGATTTCTACTGAGTAGTATCTGAAATTTTAGGATAAGCTAACTTCCTAAAAATTATCTTTGCAAACAGTTCAACCTTGATGTTTTGGGTTATGGTTTTTTGTTTCACAGATAAGCCTGAGGTAGGAGAAGAGAACACCAACATACCACAGGAAGAACTGCCCTTTGCTACCTGCCTGCTATGGGCCAGAAACTATCATTGTTTTTCAAGTGCTTTTGTTATCATGGGGCTCCTTTCTTGTTGAAGAAACTGAAGCAGAAATTAAAATGCCTGCTGAGGGGAGAGGAGCTTAGATCCCAACCCAGTTTTGCTATCTGTGGTCCCCACCCCTCTAACTAGCAGAGTCCTTGAGTCATGGTCTTTGGTAGAGTAGGGAATGTTTTCATAGACCCTCATAATCATAGAGAACAGATTCTGGGAGGATCAGCAACCTGGATGAATTAAAATTCTCTGGCTCCTCTGTTGTCTGTTAGAAGTAGTTCTTGGTTATAAGAAGTGTGTTTGGTTGTGTGCATGCATTGACCTCCCAGCCCATAACCTTTGAGTGCAAATAAAAAAAAAACAGGGGCAGTTTTTCGAAAAATAGTTACCTCAGGGATGTTAGATTAAAGTATGTCTCATACATGGGGAAGGTACTTAGAAACCAGCACCAACCATAATGCCATTTTGTGGAACAGGCAGGACTGAAAAGCCATGCTGGCCCATAGTTGAGTTTCCTTCTCTAGGGTCTGAGCTGTGAAGAGCTGGGGTAAGGGCTGACTGACCCTATAGGATGTGGAAAAGAGATTGCTCATCTTTTCCTTTTCCCTATGTAACATTACAGCCTATATTGCAGAGTCACAGAAGCAGAAGTACCACAATTTGACAGACTGAGAATTTCCATTTCTAAAGGCAGCAAACTTAAAACTTAGCTTGTCAAGGTATCTTAGCCAATATCAATTTAATTTAGTTTCTTTTGCTCAAGTTGCTCAAAAATTAAAGACTAGGAAGGACATTTGTATCCAATGCTATCTAAAAAAATTTTTAAATCACAGGACAGTTTTTAGGATTGGTCACATGCCTTACTTGTCATATAGTATTTCATTTTTATTGTGTAAGGAAATTGAGCAACATATCGTATTAACAGTAGGCAATGACATTATTTATACATTGATGAAAACAATGTTCCTTCTCTCCAAATTATACTTTTCTGATTCAGCTTACTTTAGAATAAGATGTTCCTTTGGTTTTTCTCATACATGTGTTTCTCTGAGGCTACTGCACTTGATTTTTGTTCCTTTCCTCTTAGCTGTCCCCTCTGTTTACTTTCTCCATCAGAGGCAGAGCTCTGGCCAACATCACCCTAAGCCTTTCAGTGAATGGATCACTGAATCAAATGAATTTCTTTAAAAGATTTTATCTTTATTTATTTATTTTAGATGGAGGGGACGGAGAGAGAGAGAGTGAGTGCTCATGCGGGAGAGTAAGAAAGGGGATGGAGAGGGACAAACAGAGTCTGTGTTGACCCTGGAGATCCAGACTAGGCTGGATCTCAAGACCCTGAGATCAAGACCTGACCAGAGATCAAGAGTCAGGATGCTCTACCAACTGAGCCACGAAAGGAGCCTCTCAAATGAACTTTTATTAGTTTGCAAATTAAGAGAACACTTTCTGGTGTTTGATAACTATTTACTATTCTGTTCTTGAAATTATCCCCCCTGAACATTATTGCTACCGGAATGATCAGCAAAAAATGCAACTCAGATTTGATTAATATTATATAGGGGTTCCCTGTCACATTCTAGGGTAATGCCCAAACTCATTGACATGCCACATAAGCGCTCCATGCTCTGGCCCATTTTGTCTTTCCTGGACTTTTTACCCTGTGGACTTATTCTTGCATTCTGATGTATCTATTGTAAACATGCCCGCTAATCCCAAATTTCCAAGGCAATTTTATATCCTGTGTTTTTCCTCACTTGCTTTCCTCATCAGACTTCTGCTTACTCAATCTTTGAATATTCATTAAAGCACTTTTTCATCTTATAAAATTCAGATGGCACAGCCTCCTATATAAAGTTTTTGTCAGCATCTCTTATCCCAGGAAAAATTGACAAGTTAGTTCTTGATGCCCCAAAGTTTTGTGTATATTTAATAAAGTATGCGCCTTACTGGACATAAATGCCCATTCTTCTCTAGGTGTGGCTCCTGGTCTCCATGACAGTATCCTATTTTATTCATCTGTATCTATCCAGTGGCATGCATGGGGGATAAATTACCAATGTAGGTTATAAAAGTTTTAAAAAGCTTCTGCCTTTTTCTGTTTATCAAGCAAAGCCATGTGCTCTGGAAATAGTTGTACTTACTCAACCTTGTTGTAGCTTTGCAGCTGGTGGAGATGTTGCCCCTTGAACCTAGGAGAAGTAGCTAGAAGGAACCTGGTTCCTTTCCTTCACCATCTTGTCCCATGTGTGGCCATCCCTTGGGTAGGGGGAGTAAAAGGACAGGAGAGAGAAGGTGGAGCAAAAAGCATGGAAGGGATTTTGGAAAAGTCTTGCCGATACTCCCATTGAGGAGTAGAACGAGACAGGTACTCTCTTTAAAGTGGCCTATTGCTCTGTGGTTGTTCTCCCTACTCCAAGTTCTGTTCTCTCAGCTGCAGACCATGAAGGGGATTTCAGAAGAGCTTTTAACCCCCTGTACGTTTACCAAGTGAAGTTTGGGAACATAACTGTCTGTTTAGTTAAGGGGTTTTAATTGAATGTAGGAAATGTGTCAAGTAGATGTTTCTGTACTATTGTACTCTGTTCTGAAAGCCTTTAAACCAGCATTTCTCAAATAATGTTTAATCAAACATACTGCCAGAGGCCCCATGGGGGAAAGAATTCCATGGTTACATTCCTTTGAGAAATACAGCTTACTATATAGTCCCTATCTAGAGTTTGGCAATGCGTGCATTGACAGATCAAAAGCAGTAGTGAGTTCTCTGAGAGAGTCTTGTTTAATCTGGAATTTTCCAGACTTACTTGGACACAGCGGTCTTTTACAGGCTCTTTCACTCTACATTCGGGAAATTGCATTGAAATATTCACATTCTGGCTAAGTGATAGTTTTTTACTGGTGTGTTTTGTTTCAGGGACAGTGGCACAAAGAGAAAAATAATTTGGGCCTCACCCACGGTTTAAATCAGAGCTTCCTATGTCAAATATAAAAAGGAAAGGAAAGAGTTCCTATGGCAACTGCTGTGCTGTGTGTGAGGCCTTACCAGCCATAGGAGAGTTGAAATTCTTGAGCAGCGGTGTGTGCTACAGAATAGGGGTATTAGATAGAGAGATAGAGATTGCTTGCAAAGTCCCTGTGTTTTGTTAATAATATTGGCTATTTTTACTCTGGTGAAGTTATCATTTCACCAAAAAAAAAAAAAAAAAAAAAGAAAGAAAAGAAAAGAAAGGAAAGGAAAAGAAGGAGAATAAAAAAGGGGAGCAAAAGAAGAAGGGGGGAAAAAGGAAAAAGAATAAAAAAAGAAAAGTTGTCCTAAGATATCATATTCCATGAACAGTTTCAAAAATAACTACCAGTTTGAAACTTCTTGTGTATCCTCAAATTTCCGTAGGGGAATTGTGGAAAACTGGAAAAAAAAAAAATAACCCTTTATGCGGATAATCCATGCCACCTTCTTTATCAAGATATCATTAGAGAAACCCACTGAATGTGGAGTTCATTCAGATTAATATATTCTCCAGATGTCCTGATAGAAGGAATCAACTGTAACCAAAATAAATAAATAAAAGTAGGGTTGTGTTGAGTTCTCGGTTTGCCTTTGCTCACTGTGAGCGCGTTCCCACACAATGAATTGAATACCGTTCTAAGGAACCATTCTTACATTCTTCCTCCTCTCCATCAACTTCCTCAGTCTGGGGATGAGAGATAGTATAATTCTGAGTAATCAGGATCCTCTTGAAATCCTATTTTAGCAGAAAATTGGCTGAGTTCCTGGCCAAAAACAGAACACCTGCCAGACTGACTTGTCCCAAGGTAATGGAAGAAGCACAGATGTCATCAGTTGACTTCACAATATATTTCCACTACCCACAGTCTGGCCTTGCCTCTTCCATTTCTGCCTCCACCTCTCACACAACTACAAAAAAGCCCTTGATTTTAAAAAGCCGGTCTATTTTCAAAGCTAGGAAGGCAATGGAGAAGGGCAGGTCACTTGAGAATATGTTTCTTGTACTTTCTTTCTTTTGAAACCAATAGTTTCTGTGTTTCATCTAGGAACACTTCAAGATGGAAACACTTTCCACGCATAATCGTAATTGTCTTGTCTTAGAGGAACCACTTGAACACCAATTTATTGCTTTGCCCAGTTCCTATGCAGCATTGAAGCTGTGCCAAGCATGGCTCTTTTAAAGTTTGGGCCATGTGTTTTTATGTTGCTGACTGTCTGATTTTCTGCTAGATGGCCAAAGTCCTTTCTCCATCCCTCCCTTCCTTTCCTCTCTCCCTTCCTTCCATCCTTCCTTTTTCATGGAAGCCCTTATTGTGGTGAAAAGATATGTAAAAATTAGCAATGGTATAAATTGAACATAATTGATATATATATTTATATATTTATATTATAGATAAATATATTATATATATTATATATTTATATTTATATATATTTATATTACATATAAATATATTATATATTATATAAATGTATATTATATACAAATGTATATTATATATTATATTATTTATATATATATACTTTAAAAACATGTGTGTATATGTATATGCACTTTTACTTCAAAAACATTTTTACAAATACACTTAGAAAGAAATACACATAGAGGAACTCTGAGAACACATTCACTGACCCCACCCTATCCCAGAATGTGGTTCATATCACTTAGATTATGTATTTTTTTTTTTAAAGTAGGGAGATAGTTAAAATAGAGATAAAATCTGATATTCAGACAGGGATTTTATATGACATGTAAATTGTGAGATTCTGCCACAAAAATAGGTTTTGGTAGGTGAGAATTACTGACATGGAGTGAATTGCTGGTTGACTCTGGGTGAAGTAGAGATGATTTCCTAATGGAAATCTTAGAATTCAAAATAATATGGAAACAGTAGGCTCGTTTTTTTTTAAAAAATAACAATTTAATTCTCATTTATTTTGAAAATGGTAAAATTAATATCATTAAAATTATAATGAGGAAATTTTACCCTGTGAACACACATTCTATTCTAGCTTTCAGTGCATTTATCTTGGCAACCCAATGTATACGATCTCATCGGTACTCCCCCAGTGAGAACTTAGCTCGTTATTTCTACACTGCCAATTGATTTGCTCATCATTATCCTCTGGCTTCATTTTTCTTGTCATCATCCAGTTTATGCCTTAGTGCGGTTACTGGCCTTCGGAAAATGCCTTCAGGGCCTGACTTTTATATAGTTAGGATTTAATGTGATATTCCTGTGCTCATATCATGTCCATAGTTTGATATAGAACAAATTTAAAAGGATTAATGGTCCGGGGGCCTTTGAACACATAGAACAAATTAATCTAAATGGAACCTGATTAAGGAAAATTGAACTTGCCTGCTCTTCTCTTTTAGGTGAAGCGAATTTCCGAAGATCCTCCTTGCAAATGCCCAAACAAATTCTGTGTGGAGAGGCTCTCTCAAGGAAGATACCGAGTGGGCGAAAAGATCCTCTTCATTAGGGTAAAGTTTTACTTTTCACTTGATATCTTGTCCTTTCTGAGGCTATTCAGGACCTGAGTTGGGAATTACAGGGGACATGTGACCCATAACTAAGCAGGAGCTTTATTGATGCTACATAGAGTTGGATTTGAAGATAGGAGGTATGAACATTTGTTAATATACATGATTACTACTGAGGGCTAAATAAATAGAACTATCTTGCTCTTTTTATATACATACAAACACACACATCAACCAGATCATAGAGACCAAACACAATGAGAAAAGAAAAATCAAATTCCTTTTTTTGTTCACACATTTCATTTCAAAGGAACTTAACACCTCCCTCTGCTCCCCAGACCCCACACCCCATAGGAAACAGAAATAGTCTCTTGCCCTGGTCTTCCATATCCCAAGTTTGGGACATGATCATCCTATCGGTCCTGGTAACTTTTCAAATGATTTGAGCATGATTTTTTCAAGATGTTTGGGTCATGAACCAGAATGAAAATGCAAGCTCATTACAATGGCATGGTTAGCTAGTGACTGTCATTTCTTACTGTTTTCTGGGTTAGAATAAAGAAGCATGGTCGGGTGCTAATGGATGTTCTGGTGGTCTTTATCCATTTTACAATCATTTATGATCATTAATGTCCACTTTACTAATGAAAAATCAGACTAGATACCATGAGAAGTTTTAGGTTGTTATTAGTGGTTCCAAGTAATGTCTCATGCTTTTCACTTGTGATCTTTTTTGGTGAATAATCAAGATAATTTCATCTCAAAATAAATTTGTGACATTTTCTAAGACCAAGATTATTCTTTTCAAAATTAAAAAGGTGAAAATACAGCACTCAGCTATTCCTAGAAATTAATAACTATTTTCCCCCCATATATTTTAGTCATTTCCTAAAGAACGGGGGTTATGATTCAAAGGAACTGCATTCTCTCATTTGAATAAGTTAAAATATCTTGCTGGTTAATCTGTTTTGTGGAACAAAATAAATGTGTGCGGCAAGTACCATCAATGAAAATTCTTAACAAAACTCAAAATCAATGACGACCCAGTATAAATTTTGTCAATGTAAAGTTTTCTTAACTACAACTTTTGACTGAAAGTTATTAATAAGACAAATTTTTAAGGCTCTACAACATGTTATTTGAAGAAAACCTTGATTGTAATTAGCCTTTAAAAAAGTGTTCATCATTTCATTTTTTAATCCAACTTTAGGGTCATGTTTATTGATTTAAAAAAAAGTTTCCAGGTAATAATTGCTATTTTGCATTGTAATGACAATAAGAAAAATATAATGATATATGATGATTAAGGGTTTGAGAAAAATCTGAAGAATGCCCTCACTAAGATAGACAGTTGCCCTAGTATTTGCTTATTGTTCTCTTGGTTTTTATTAGAAAAAATAACATCTGTGTTTGTTTTTGCCAAACTGCCTTCTTTTGCTTTAGTACATTAAAAAATAATAAATTAGCATCTCTGCAGATGTGTTTAAGTTTTACTAGGTTGACTTTTCTCAGGTCAACCTTTCTTGAGCCTCAAGACTTCTTGAGAACATTAGGCCCTAGAGCCTAGAATCAAAACCTAGGGCTTCATTTATCTACGTAATTATTGCTTCCTATTTTAGAAGTGTTAACAAACACATGATTAATAAATTAGATACTTTTCCCTATAATGTAGCCTAATATCTTTAAGTAAAAATATGTATCACATATGTCTATTTGTGTCAGGTCTTCCATATTTAGTCAATGGTCAGAGAATTTGATATCCGTGTTTATGAATATGATAAATTTACATCATATTGGACATTTAAGGTATTTTTTGATGTTCTGTTTTTCTATTCAGAAAATGGTTTCCTTTTGGTGAAATTCTTTTCATGTATTGTTTATAGAGTAAATGAGATTTGCTTTACTGAAAAAAATTTCATCAAAGTCCTGAGTGAGAGCATTTTAATTTAATATCAGTTCCCATGGAATACACATATTGCACACATTTTGTTTCATACTTCTGTTGTTACAAGGGAGCCTGCAAGAGAATTAACTGGAATATGGTTTTCCTGATTGGCCCAGCAAGTTATGGCATCACTCAGCCATGCCAGGTGCTGTAGAACAGTGTTGTGATTACCTATACTAATCCCCTTCTCTTTTTACACTGTTCATGGGTAATTTACACTGTTTTTTTTTACAACAGGTTTTACTTTATTTTTGATTTTAGTTTATTTTTATCATTATGTTCAATTACCAGCATGTAGTACATCATTAGTTTTTGATGTCATATTCAATGATTCATTAGTTGCATATAACAGGTTTTACTTTGAAAGTGATCCATTTTTTTTTTTCAAATCCTTTTGAAAGGAAATTTGCTATCACTGCATAAATTGGAAACTAAAACTATTTGTCAAAAAAGGAAAATATCCACTAACGTGTATTCATCGAAATTCTCATCCTTCAGCTTGCTAGGGGTCCATTCCCACCATGATGGAGTAAACTGATTTTAAAAAAGCCCCTCTCCTTGTCTCTGTTTTCCCTAGAGGACTTCACCACCCATTCTACCAAGTTTTGGAGCTGAAATGTCACACGAAGACCATATGCACCTTTCATTACATGTTATCTCCCTATTTCTTCTTCTAAACTGAATGGAAAAGCTAAAACAAAGTCTTATTGATGAGTATACACTTTTACTAGTACTTTTTGATTTGTGGCTTGGATTATAATTAATTGTCATTCTGCACTCATTCACTGTAAGGAACTGACAGTTATGACTCAAAAATACTTAGAGACCATAGTTTTCAAGGGATCTTATGGTTGTTGCTGCTAATATCTTTAGTTTGCTCTGAACACCTGGTACTAAGTGCTTATAGTCAGTACTAAGTGCTTATAGTCAGAATCTCAAACATACTAGGGGAGTGATTGCCTTACTGTCTCTGCATTGCTGTCTTGTGTTTCTTATGCTTGCATTTTTAACATTGGCATATTTTAAAATTTGCCATATCTCTTTTTAGGCTACAAGGTGTGGGCATATTTACTACATAATATAAGTAGATGCATTTCTGCATATCATTATATAAAACACACATACAGTGAAATATACATGATACAGTACATTAGTGTTTATTATCCCCTAGTTTTCTGTCCATTCTGAGAGCAGCAGTGTTTTCATATGGCCATAATGAACCTGTCCACACAAAGAACAATTTTGAGTCATTTAAGGCTTGTTAGGACTGTTGACTTAGCTCTTATTTAAAGATATCACAGTTACTAAAACACTAACTCAGAAAAAATCATCCCTTAGAAAGTCATAAATACAAGATTTTCTTAATTTTAAAAGGTTCTTGTATTTTTACTCTTGATCTACTCTTCTCCATATAAGCCAGAGCTAACAAGTTAATTGCCAACTAGATTTCAAGGTTTGTTGACACCACCCAATCACTTTACTTATGTATGGTTTTATGATTATTATGTATCTGAACACAACTTCTCCTTACACACTCAAAGAGATACAATAACAACAAATAAGAACGAAAAATACAAGAATGTTTGCAGATTACAGAGAAAGAGGCGGGAAGACATTTTCTGCCGCAGATATCTTTGCTAAGCATATGTCTTATCTGTGGGCTTCTAGAAACTGGTGTATGAATAGCTACTTTGCATATCTGGCTATCTAATATTTATTTATATACACACATCTATATGCATACATGGGCTTCTTTATTTATATGTGTATGTCTCCATTTAATAGTAAGGGATTGTCTTTACCCAAATATAAAGAATCCTTTAGTCCAAGGGAGAACCTCTGAGGTTTTTGATTGTGGCTTTTAGGCAAACATGCTAATAATCCCCTGCTAAAGTCAGAATGCTCTTGTTTCTAACTTATCAAAAACAATTTGAAGCCAGATTTTTGCCCTACATCTTCCAATGAGTGATGTGGTTTCTGAACTACCTGTTGGACAAGCAAGCTAAGTGTAGCTAATATGTATCTGCGTAGTGAAGATGCACATTTACTCTGCTCCAAGGTATAAATATTTCAGTTAGTTTTCAGTGACTTTTGAAATTGGACAAAGATGATAAATGCTCTTCGTTAATTTCCGTGGTAACAGATGTTTGGATTTTACCATTTAACCATGATCTGTATCTTTGAAATATAAATAAATGAATCTGAGGCCTCAAGTTGTGATTTTGAGGGAAAAAGTATGAATTTTCCATTGTCTTAGTTCTTACAGTTAGTTGGTTTCTACCCACACTTCAAGTATCAAGAAGTCAGGTGGTAATATAAATCTGTACAAACTTGTAGGAAAGGTTTTCAGAAATATGTCATAGATGCCATAAAAATATACTATTTAATTTCTTAATCTGAACTCAATGATGATAATGTTCTGTATAAATAATAAGTAATTATTTAAAGTGATCTCTCTAAAGTGCCTGGCTGGCTCAGTTGGTAGAGCATGTGACTCTAGACTTGGGGTCATGAGTTCAAGCCCCATGTTGGGTATAGAGCTTACTTTAAAAAAAAAAAAAAAAAGAAAAAGAAAAATTACAGTAAAGAAAAACAAAAAACAAAAAACGATCTCCCAGATAATCAGCATTTGCATTATCTGGGAACTCGGTGGAATTGCAAATTCCTATCTGAGGGTCTCACCTGAGGTGGGTCCCAGCCACCTCCATTATAACAAGCCATCGAAGTAATTCTGCTATGTGCTGAAGTTTGAAACCACTCATCTAAAAGATGGGAAGGAAGAGATTGTTGTACCACAGTACAATTAGAAATAATTTGCATGTCTGATCATGGAAAAATATAACCATTCAGATGCTAGAAATGATCATTTTGAAGACGTCTATGTATCACTGTGAGGAAATACTGAAGATATGATGTTAAGTAGAAAAATTAGATTTTTAAACTGTATTTACATATGAAATATCTCCCTGTGGAAATTATATATAATTATGATTAAGACTTGAAGGGAACAGGAATAATTATTAAACAGTTTTTAATTTTTGAAGGCATAGAATTT